AGAATGCTAGAATCTGGGCTGGCCATGTGATTTGCCTTGGCCAATAGAATGCTAGAATCTGGGCTGGACATGTGATTTGCCTTAGCCAACAGAATGCTAGAATCTGGGCTGGACATGCGATTTGCCTTGGCCAACAGAATGCTAGAATCTGGGCTGGCTGTGTGATCTGCCTTGGCCAATAGAATGCTAGAATCTGGGCTGGCCATGTGATTTGCCTTAGCCAACAGAATGCTAGAGTCTGGGCTGGACATGCGATTTGCCTTGGCCAACAGAATGTTGCAGAAGTGACGTCAGGCCAGTTCTGCAGCTGGGTCTTAGTGAGCTTTCACTTTCTCTTGCAGAACCCTGCAAGGTCCCATGCAAAGAAGCCCAGGCTAGCCTGCTGGGGGACACAAGACCAGGGTCTAGTCACCTCCATCACCCCTGCCAACAGCTAGTCAACCACAGCACTTGCAAGTGAGGCTATCCTGGAGCAGCCAGCTCTACCCAACCCACCAGCTTGCATGAGAAGGCCCAGTTGGGATTACACAAGCCTCGCTCAAATCAGTAAAACCACCCGGCTGACCTCTGAGCCAAAGAAAAAAACAATTATTGTTATATGCTCTTGAGCTTACATTGCTGTTTGTTATGCAGCATTTACTGTGCTGATACATAACTGATGCATCCACTGAAGAGATTTTTCTCCCACGCATGGCACTGGGCATCACAGATCGCCAATTCAGGTCCCTCGTGGAAACTGTCACCCAACCAAAGGACTCAGAATAGCAGGATCTCTGAGACAGGTCAAAGCACAAATCCTAAGGTTGTCTCTGATGGAGCACGTGGGAAGTGACCCCCCAGCTGACCACGTGACCTGCCATCACAAGTGAGGCAGAAGAACCATGCCACAGGCACTTCCAGAAAATCTCACAGTCTGGCAAAGACCTTGCCCAGAATGCTGAATTCCATCTGGGGAATAAAGCCAGACACATCACTCTTTTGGACAAGCAATTTTTTTTTTTGCATAATTGACAATTCTTGGCATATTCTCCCCTTCTCTATGCACAGCCTTCCTTTTATGTCACTCATGTATGTACCAGACACTCTGAGGTGACTTCCCTGAAAAGTGAACGTCAAAGAGACCTCTGGCTCCCTACCCTTAAATATTCTACTTGTTATAAATTCCCCGAGGAGTCTTCTTAGCTCCAAATATCAAGGGAATTGGAAGGGGGAGTAAGGAGGAAGAAAACACGTTCTCAGAGCAGTTCTTTGTACTTGAGATTCTTTGGTTTGTATTAAAATATTCTCATCTTCCCATAATTTATGGGCACTCCTGGAACTAAGAGGGTTCGTTTTGTCCCTGATCCTCCATTCTAGAAATAAAACTAACTGTTAGTGTCAGAGTGAGTATCTCTGGGAGGGAGGGGGAATGGGACGGAAACTTTCAGAGCATCCAATTTGAGTGTTCAGGGAAAGACTCTGCAGACTCATTTCCTGGCCTCACTTGCCAGGGACTGAGACCCAGCACCAGGCACCTCCCCATCCATGATCTCATTTGATTTTCAGAACAGTCCTGCCAGGGTAATATTCTAGTCATCATCATGTTCCTTTCTGAGAAGAGGAAAGTGAGCGTCCTAGGGATAAGATGCCTTCTTCAGAAAGCAGAGCTGGCTGAACATGGGTCTAGAATTTAAATCCAGGTGCAGATGACACTACAATGCTCTTACCAGCCAAGCATCCAGAGAAGGCGTGATCAGGGAAGGCTACCTAGAAGAGGCAGGACTTAACCTGAGTCTCAGAGCTCAAGAGTCCCAGCTAGCTGTACTTTCTAGGGTAAGAGGTACAGTCTATCTTATCCACTCAGTTCTCTATAAGACCCTGAAGGGTACAAAATCCCTGCTGCATGGGTCCTTTTAAAAATGCATGGATCCCATTTTTTCTTACATAAAAATCTCTGCTGCATTCTCCTGTGCCAGTTGAGTAAAATTTACTGTCTAGGGGGTGCCATTCAAGGATCTGGTTAATCTGCCTCATTCTACCTTTTTAGCTTTCCATCCCACGACGACCCCTACCCGCCCACTCATACACACACAGATTTACCTTTTCAGATATCCCACGTTAGTTAAATAACACTTCACCTCTAATACATCATTTCTCTCCTACATCATTCATGCTATTCCCACTGCCTACAATGCCCATCTCTGCCTAATAAACTCCTACTCAACCCTCAGAGCCCAAGTCAAATGGCCCTTCAGCTGGGATGCTTCCTCGTCACCCCTTCATTGACATAGTTTGTTGTACACATATCCAGTCAACTAGCACAGCTCCAATTGACCCATGGCACCATGTTTGTCATGGAGACGGTGAACCTTGAAGATGGGAGCCCAAGTTTTATTTATCTTTGAATCTTAGCATAGGGCCTGGTCTTTGGCCCAGAGATCAGTCATTATAAATGCTTGCTGGATGATTAAATGAATGAGTGAATGAATGGATACATTTATTGCAGACTTTCCGAAGATGTCCATTGGATGAACCTAAGCCTCTGTGATATCTCAGTGCTCAATAGGCACCTTAGATGGAGGGCACAGAAACTCACACTTCTCACTTGACACCGCTTGTTTTCAGGGGGAGGATTACAAACAGACAAACTGAAACAAGGCCCGGCAGGTGGTCCAACCCCTCAATGGCCCCACTGAAGAAACTAGACCTGTGGCATCTCTGAGCAGCTCTCTGCGTCTGCCTCTTTCTCTCACTTGTTCCAAGCCCCAGATAAATCTTTTTTTGGCAGGTGGCCCATCTCAACTAATATGAGGAGGAATTGTGGGTTGTCAGACACAGGGCCCAGCTGAGGAGCTGAGGCTGGTGAGAGTCAGAGCATGTTTGACCAATGGCAGTCTGGGTCAGGCAAGATGCACGCATCTTTCTTCCGAGATGTCCAGGGCTGGGGAGTCTTGTGGAAATAAGATGCTTGTGCCTGGGAGGCCTCAGTTCAGTCCCAATTTTGTCAGTCCTTCCTTGGGGAGCACAGCTAAGCCTCCTGACCTCTCTGGGCCTCGGCTTTTCCACCCACAAAATGGGGTGAAGGAGGAACAAGATGCTGCGTGGTAGCCTCTATCTCATAACGAGGGGAGTCTAGAGACCGTTGTCAGACGCAAGGAAACTGTGGCCCAGAGAGGTGAGGTGACTTGCTCAAGGCCGCACAGCCCAGAAGTGCAAAGGCAGAGATCTGTTCCAGGTCCTGCAATTCCAGGGCACACCAATTCCCAAGCTGCATCCCAGCTGGAGGAACATGGCACAGACCTACGAATCTCGGCATTTACAACGCCACTGGCCCCTGGGGACCACAGCCACCTCGGGAAGCCACAGCAGGCCCATTCGTTTTTGTTTTTTTTTTTTTGGCATATTTAATGTATGTATTTGTATGTGTGTTTTTTCATTTCTTTAAAAACTTTTCAGTTTTATGTATTTTTAAAATCACTTCATTGAGACATGACTGACCCATAAAAACTTGCATCTATGTAATTTTACAACTAGATTCGTTTGGGAATAAGAATACACGGGTGAAGCCGTCACCACCATCCAGGCCTTACGTATGCTCATCATCTCCCGAAATTCCCTCCTGTGTCATTTACATTAGCAAGAGCAGTTAACTTACGATCTACCCTCTGAGCAAATTTTAAGTATACAATACAATTTGTTCGCTATAGCCACTCTGCTGTAGTATCTAGCTAGTTCCTGGCTGTAGGCACTCTGCTGTATAATAGGTCTCCAGATAAGAGATTAATAACCAGAATAAATAAGAAATTCATACAACTCAGTAGCAAAAAGGGACAAATAACCCAATTATAAAATAGGCAAAAAACCTGAAACAGACCTTTCTTCTGAGACAACATACAAATGGCCATCTACTTTCTTTGAGACGGAATTTCACTCTTGTTCACCAGGTTGGAGTGCAATGGTGCTATCTCAGCTGACTGCAGCCTCCGCCTCCCGTGTTCAAGAGATCCTCCCGTCTCAGCCTCCTGAGCATCTGGGATTACAGACACCTGCCACCATACCCGCCTAATTTTTTTTTTTTCATATTTTTAGTAGAGACAGCGTTTTGCCATGTTGGCCAGACTGGTCTCAAACTCCTGACCTCAGGTGATCCGCCTGCCTCGACCTCCCAAAGTGTTGGGATTATAGGCATGAGCCACTGCGCCAGGCTTGGCCATCTACTTTCAACAGGAAGACTCCAGGCAGCCTCTTCCTGTGGCTTTGAGCTCAGGGGAGTAAATAGAAAGAGCCCGGATTAGGGATGGAAGTTAACCACTGACCAGGCTTAGCGGTTAAGAATTGCAACGTGGCATCAGGGGCCCCGGAGGTGATACACTGGCTCTGACATGTTACACACAATATGATTCGAGGCAGTATTTCCCGTCTCTGAGCCTCGGTTGTCTCAACTGCAAAATAGGGGGGTGGTAATATTTCCTTCCAAGGGCTGGTGTGATCCTTAATGAGACAGGTCCTGGACCACAGCCCAGAGGTGATTCTGACACGTAAGAAGCAATGTGCTACTACAATATTACATCTTAGCTAGTGATACAGCTATAAGGTATCATAAAGAAGAAAAGGAGAAAGGAAGGAAGAGAGAATGTGAGAAACGCTCTTTTGCTTTACCTTCTGAGCACGTCCTCATTTATAGAGCTGCACTGTCCGATACAGTAGCTGCAAGCTACGATAGCTACTGAGCGCCCGAAAGGTAGCTCATCGGAATGGGGCTGTGCTGTAAGGTCAAGTGTAAACTATCCTTAGAATGAAAAAAAAGTAAAACATCTCATTCATCATCGTTCCTGTTGATTACATATTGAAATGATAATTTTGATGTATTGGTTACATTAAATACATTATCAAAATTCATGTCACCTATTACTTGTCAAGCTTTCTTAATGAAGCTGCTAGAATTTTTTTTTAATTTTATATATAGAGAGAGTACGAGTGTCGATTTCTTATGTACGTATATTGCATAGTGGTGATGTCTGGGCTTTTAGTGTACCCGTCACCCAAATGGTGAACATTAAATAGAAAATTTAATTAACAAAAGAATTAACAACAAAAATAGAAAAGTTTAAATTACGGATGTGGCTTTCATTACATTTGTATGGGACAGCATTGCTCTAGAAAACTAAAAAAATATGTGTCTACATTTTGGAGCTTGGATTCTGAGTTCAGCCACTTTTTGGCTGTGTGAACTAAGAAGAGATTCTTGCCCTCTCTGAGCCTTAGTGTTCCCTATCTGTAAAGCGGAGATCATTCCTTGAGAAGACGTAATGAGAGCCAGATCACAACGTTTGCATCATATAGATCATACAGTACATATCTGATATACACGAGCCTCTGTTTTTCATGGCCAGTTACCTGCTGCATCCTGGGACAACTCCTGCGCCAGCTGAAGGCTCAGAAGGGATTGCCTGGCTGAGGTGTTCAAGCTCCTCTACCTGGGATCTCCACGGGACACAAGTCTCAGGCAGGACCTCACACAGATCCCTAGAACTGTGGCTGCAGCCTCTCAGACTGGTTCCTGGAGGCACTCTCAGACGGTCAATTGCAAAATACAAATCAAGCTTCTTCTCAACCCTATGTGTGCGCCCTGACTGGACCCCCAGCTTTTGACGACTCCCTGTGTCTCCCGCCCAGTGTTCACACCTTTATCATAAAGCTACAGAAATAAGAGGGCAGCAGGAGAGGAGTGAGAGAAAACCCTAGGCCTGCCCTTCCCTCCCTGGTTTCCACTCCTGTCTTTCTGCAGGAGGGCTCAGAACAGGTAAGGACACCCTGCTGGGAGAAGTTTCCCTTCCCCTTCCTAGCCTGGTTTTCAAGGCTGCCCTCTCTGGCCGGCGAGAAGCCAGGCATTTAATTGAATAGAACCATACAAGGTGGCTGCTATCTTTGCAATCCTGAGAGCTGAGGACACCTGCTGTCCATCCTGCCAGGGAGATGAGGCCACTGAATGTTCCCAGGCAGGACGGAGGTCTGCGACTGTCTAGTGGACAGATTTTCCTACACTTTCAAATAGGAGGCAGAAGGGTAGGGAAACTGTGACAGAGCCCCAATTACTCCCTATCTCTAGGTTCCCACTGAAAACATCTCCACCTCCTTCCTCCTAACCTAGATCAAGTTGTACGGTCCTGGTTCCAGCCCTTCACCCAACTCACTGTGTGCCCTGTGTCATCCTGAGAGAGCTGTTTTTCCAGTTCTTCTCTCTGGGATTCTGTAATGTTTAAAAAACACTTCATGGTACTTGAGACAGAATGAGGAGTTTGAGTGAGGCACGCACTAACGTTTACCCGCTGTTAATTTTGTGTAGGTGGCTATATACACCTCCCCAAGCCTCAGTGTTCCCATCTAAGAGGTGGGTATGTTAACAGTATCTTCCTTACAAAGTGATTTAAATGTAAGTGTTTTTCTGTTTGTTTGTTGTTGTTGTTTTGGTGTGGAGGGGGACGGAGTCTCGCTCTGTTGCCCAGGCTGGAGTGCAATGGCACGATTTCAGCTCACTGCAACCTCTGCTTCCTGGTTTCAAGTGAGTCTCCTACCTCAGCCTCCTGTGTAGCTGGGATTACAGGCATGCACCACCACACCTGGCTAATTTTTTTGTATTTTTTAGTGACGACACAGCAGTCACTATGTAGACCAGGCTGGTCTCAAACTCCTGACCTTAGGTGACCCGCCCACCTCAGCCTCCCAAAGTGCTGGGATTACAGGCATGAGCCACCACGCCTGGCCAAATGATATTTTTTACTAAAGTGCTAAGCGCAATGTCTGACACTCATCAAATGTTCATTAAATGGTTATTGTCAGTGGTATGCTAGTAAAACGGCTCTCAGGAGTGGGAAGGAGTGCTGATTTGTAGCACTTGCCAATTTCTGTGGTGTAAGTACTTTCACTCTAACTTATTTCAAGCCAATAGCATAACTTGCTTCCAAAACTTCTGAATATTTAACAACGGCCCAGTAGTCAGCTCCGGCAATGCAAGGCCAGTTATTATTGTTGCGAATATTGATGCTACTAACCAAGCATCTTCCTGTGTTTGTTACTTTTTGTTTTTCCCTTACGTGGCAAAATTACATCTGAGTTCACTTCAACATTAGATTTTGCAAATTGAAACTAGTTTGAAAGCCATCAAAGCAAATGATCGGGTAAGATCTCTTCCAGGTCGGCTGGGTACAGTGGCTTATGCCTGTAATCCCAGCACTTTGGGAGGCCACAGTGGGCGGATCATGAGGTCAAGAGATTGAGCATCCTGACCAACATGCTGAAACCCCGTCTCTACTAAAGAGTAAACACAAAAATTAGCTGGGCGTGGTGGCGTGTGCCTGTAGTCCCAGCAGCTACTCAGGAAGCTGAGGCAGGAGAATTGCTTGAACCCGGGATGAGGAGGTGGCGGTGAGCCGAGATCTTGCCACTGCACTCCAGCCTGGCGCCTGGCAACACAGCAAGACTCTGTCTCAAAAAAAAAAAAAAAAAGATCTCTTCCAGGTCTAAAGAACATCCCAGCAGTTGTATACTCAAGTGCTCCCCTCTTAGAGACAATGCCCTAGACTCCCTGCCAGGCACAGAACCCTGCCCCATGCCCTTCTCCCTCATAGCCCTACACTGGACAAGTCAGAAAATCCACCCCAAAAGAGGGGCACTAAAGGATTAAGAAACAGAATTTTTCCCAGATGGATTCTAGCTGTGTGGGCTCAGACAAGTAGTCCAGCCTCTCTGAGCTTGTTTCCTCAACTGGCTCAGAGACCTGTTGTGAGGGGTTAATGAGAAAATTTATATAAAATGCCCATCACCAAGTAATGCCCAGTAAAAATATCTATTGTTTAAAATATTACTATTAATACAACCACCAAGTCTGGGGCCCTTGTTCCTCTGTGGAGGGTCTGTGGGGGCCCGCAGGCCTCCTATAGGTTCTGCAAATAGCAGCAGCACAGAGCTGGACCCAGGATCGGAGCCCCCCCCATCTGCCACTCCCCCCGCCCCCAGTTGTTTCACTTCCACCCTCATTGTTCCAGGACTAATTTATTTATTTCCTTCTGAATCCTCAAAGTCTATCAAGCTGTGGAGTGGTTGGATGGATTTTTTAATTAATTGAAGCAGAATCGATGAAAAAGTGATTGTTTTGGCTCTGGCTGGGTGGGGAGCTCAGAGTGGGAAATAAATGGATGGCTTCCTCGGGGGAGGGGCTGCCTTATCGAGCCGTGTACTGAGACCAGGAAGGCTTAGCGCACGCCCTGGGCAGCAGGATGGAGAAATGAAAAGCAACCAGCACACTCCCACTCCTCGCGGTCCAAGAGATCACAGTTCAGGCCACCCCACCCCTCTTAGCAGCTGCGTGGCGCTGGACCAGTCCACGTTGGTGCCTCTCTGAGTCTCTGTTGCCTTGGGGGATTGCTGTGAGGATTAAACTCTGATACATGCTACAAGATGAATGAATCTTGAAGACATCGTGCTAAGGGAAAGGTGCCAGACACCAAAGCACAAATACTGATGACTCCACCTATAAGGCAGTACCTAGGACAGGCAAATTCAGAAAGTGGAATAGAACAGCGATCCCTAACCGTTTTGGCACCTTTTTGTTTCACGGAAGACCATTTTCCACGTGGGCGGGGTGGGGGTGCAGAAAGCTTTCAGGATGAACCTGTTCCACCTCAGATCATCAGGCATTAGGTTCTCATAAAAAATATACAACCTAGTTCCCTCGCACGCACAATTCACAATAGGGCTGGTGCTCCTATGAGAGGCTAATGCCACCACTGATCAGAGAGCAGGCAGAGTTGAGGCAGTAACGCTCACTAACTGCCACTCATCTCCCGCTTGCAGCCCAGTTCCTAGCAGGCCACCAACCAGTGCCCGTCCTTGGCCTGGGGGTTGGGGACCTCTGGAATTGAGGGCACCAGAAGCTATGGACTTACCATTTTAAAAGGGACAGAGTTTCTGTTTGGGACAATTAAATATTCTGGAAATGGATAGTGGTGATGTTTGCATGACATTTTGCATGTCCCTAATGCCATCCAACTGTATGCCTAAAAATGGTCGAAATGATACATTTTATGTTGCGTATATTTTACCACAACAAAAAAATAAATAAATAAGGTATGCTATGCGCTTAGCACTGCCTGGCTCGTAGTAGGTGCTCACTAGATATACATAAATTATTATCATTATTGTTATTACTATTATTTTTTAAATTACTGGGGTGAAGTATCTCAGATGTGATAGACTACAAACTATGACCAAAAATTATTATCATCCTATATGCAATCCTCTTCGCAATGTGACTTTGTGACTCCTTTCATCAAAAGGTAGGTTCTCAGCACTTCCATTACTGGGTGTCTATCCAAAGGAAAATAGACCATCATACCAAAAAGACTTGTATGCTCATTGCTGTAATATTCATAATAGCAAAGGCATCAAATCAACCCACATGCCCATCGACAGTGGACTGGATAAAAAAACACGTAGCACATATACACCATGGAATACTACGCAGCCATAAAAAAATGAAATCATGTACTTTGCAGCAACACGATGCAGCTGGAGGCCATTATTCTAAGCTAAACATCGGGTACTCATGGGCTAAAGATGGCAACATTAGACATTAGGGACTACTAGGGGGAGGGAGAGAAGGGGAGGGGACAAGGGCAAAAGAACTACCTATTGGGCACTATGCTCACTCCCTGGGTACAATATACTCCTGTAACAAACTTGCACATGTGCTCCCTCTATCTAAAATAAAAGCTAAAAGACAGGACTGTGGGAAGACAGGAAACAGGTCTGAAGTTCATACTCTCAGGATACGCATGGGAAAACTGAGGGCCTCAGAGAGGAAATGTCAGAGACTGAGTTTAAGGCAGAGTTGGGGGCCCAGGTATCCCAAGTAAGAATCCATTCTTCTTCCTAATTTTTGGGATATTTTGCCTTTATTCACAAAAAGCAAAGTAGTAAAGTAGATGCCATGTTTTCCATGTTAATGAAGAGGAAGCTGAGCTCAGAGAAGGTGAACTGACTTCCCCAAGGTCACACAGCCAGGAAGAGGCAGAGCCCCTTGAATGTGGGCTTGGCCAGTGACTCGCTTTGGCCAGTGTTCCTGTTGGCTGCTGTTGGCTAAAAACAACACAAATGTATTCTTATTTCTGAAGCTCAGAAGTTCAAAATGAGTCAAGGACTAAAGTCAAGGTGTCAGCAGAGTTCTCCTCCTGGAGGTTCTAGGGTAAGGATCTGTTTCCTTGCCTTTTTCAGCTTGTGGGAGCTACCTGTATTCCTTGGCTTGTGGCCTCTTTTTCCATCTTCAAAGCCCATGGTTCTAGTCTCTGCTTCCATCATCACATCACCTTCTCTTCTGTAGTATGCCTCTGCCTGCTTCTTATACAGACACTTGTTATAATATCAACGGGCTCACCATAGTTCAGGATAGTCTCCCCATTTTAAGATTTTTAAACACATTTTCAAAGTGGCTTTTGCCACCAAAGGTAACACATTCACAGGTTCCAAAGATTAGGACATGGACACCTGCAGAGTGTAGGATGGGAGTGCATTATTCAGGCCATGACAATCAATGGATTTTAACCAATATGACGGAGGGAGAAACTCAAGAGGTCTTTGCCAAAGAACCTGCCTTCTTTTTCTGGGCTTGGAACCCTTCTACCACCAAGAATGCAAGCCCATGCTAGCCTACTGGATAATGAGAGACATGTAGCTCAGTCACCCCTGTAATCTCAGTCAACAGCCAGTCAACCCCAGTGGTGGAACCACACACTGACCAGCAACTGATGGGCCAACTCTTGTGTGAGACCAGCCAGGACCAGCAGAAGAACCTCCCAACTGAGCCCAGCTCAACTTGACAGACCACAGATTCCCAAGTAAAAGAAGTTGTTCTTGGTTTAAGCCATGGAGGAGTTTCGTGTGGTTTGTTACACAGCAAAAACTAACTGAATCACCAGAGGACCCCTGAGAAGCGGAGGGAAGGTAACATTTATTAAACACCAACTGTAATACGTGGCACATTTCTCATGTAATCTCACTGAACACTCACAAATTCCTCACAGGAAGGGATTAATTGCACCCATACTATGGGTGAGAAAAACTGAGGCTCAGAGAGGGTCTTAAGCAATTAGCTTAAGACCACCTGGCTAGGAGTTTGCAGAACCAGGTGCCTGACTCCAGGTCTGCCTGACTCCAGGTCTGCCTGACTCCAGAGCCATGAGCCTTCCAAGAGTC